TGTTCTCTGTAACCAAACAGATCTCCTTAACAGAAATGACAGTTTTGTATAAACGAAGTAGATATTTATGATTTACGCTGTTCTTAACTACTATTCTTCCTCATGAGTTCCTCTACTTGGGAGTGGTGTTTACCTCTTATGTAGTCTTGCGAGTTCTGGCATAAGCTGTTTTTAACTATTAAAGAATTGCTTCATAAATGTTATTCAGTGCTTATGAATGTGGTAGGAAGTCCCAATGCAGGTATACTTCAAATAAAGTGTTACTGAGTTTAGAAATGCATGAATGATTTAAATCTAACAGTAAAGACTCTGAATCGAAATGTAAATCAAATGATGTTAAAATGTCAGAAAAAGTCCTTTTCAGAATTAATGGCAGCATGAAACGGAAACATCATTAAGAGAGTGGAGAGAAAACAATCTCAGTGAGTCACATTCACACAAACAAACATAACCTCACGCACAACAAAGGCTTGACTAACCAAGAAGAATCAAAGAAATCAGCAAGCTAGAACAAGAGAAAGACACAGAGAGAAAGACCAAGCAGTTAAACCTTTATGCAAATAATATGCTAATTAGTATGCTTACAAATGCTGATTCATCGTTTCATACTAAACTATTAGAGGTGACTTGAATTGGTTCAGTCAACAAAGACAGTGCAAGTCATGTTCATAGCCATGACGTCTGCAACAGTCACTCTCAGCCAGGCTCAAGACCTTGAACGTTGCTGAATGATCTCCATAAAGTCACCTTCAACACAGTTCCACAATGATGGAACAACCTAGTTCCAGTTCTACTGACACAGATAGCTCCACCACGTCTGCTATTATAGTTTGGAGATCAGCATAAGCAAGTTCTTACCTCAATTACAATCACCATCTCAAAGAGCACTCATCTCCTGTAAGAGTCATGATGTCCATGGAGAGGAAACACACACAGACACACACACATGCGCGCACACACACACACAGACTCAAAATCCAGAAAAACATATTCCTATGTAAAATAAATATGTTCTACTTTAAAAGATACAGTTTTGACCACAGAGGATAAACTATACAAGTTCGATTTACAGTGCAAGATTGATACAGCTGTTACTCCTCTTCATGTTGAGTCAGTTACAGTGAAAATACAGCACATTTAAAGTGTAGAGATGAACTATATAACTTTCAAAATCAAAATGAGCGCAATCACCTAGACTCCATTTACACTGTAATGTGTTAAATATGTCCGAATATTTACTTTAAAGGAAGCATCTGATAAGCCTTAGTTCTCCAACTGCCTGTAACATCAAATACTGATTGTTTATTACCATTAACAACATCATCATCATCATCATCATCATCATCGTTAACCGCTTAGTCCAGATAGGGTCGCGGTAGCAGTTGGGAGAGCAGAGAATCCCAGGTGACCCTGTCCCCCGCAACTTCCTCCAGCTCATTCCCGGGGACCCCAAGCCGCTCCCAGGCCAACTTGGAGATATAATCCCTCCAGCGGGTCCTAGGACGACCCCGGGGTCTTATTCCGGTAGGCCGTGCCTGGTACACCCCCACCGGGAGGCGTCCCGGGGGCATCCAGATCAGATGCCCGAACCACCTCAGCTGGCTCCTCTCAATGCGGAGGAGTAGCGGCTCTACTCCGAGCTCCTCCTGGATGGCCGAGCTCCTCACCCTATCAAATAGAGTGTAGCCCGCCACCCTGCGAAGAAAGCTCATTTCTGCCGCTTGTATTCGCGATCTCATTCTTTCGGTCATTACCCACAGCTCATGACCATAGGTGAGGGTCGGGATGTAGACCGATCGGTAAACAGAGAGCTTCGCCTTACGGCTCAGCTCCCTCTTCACCACTACAGTCCGGTACAGCGACCGCATTACTGCTGCCGCTTGTCCCAGCCTGCGGTCGATCTCACGATCCTTCTTCCCATCACTCGTGAACAAGACCCCGAGATACTTAAACTCCTCCACCTGGGGCAAGTCCTTTCCCCCTACCTGGAGTGGGCATACCATCCTTTTCCGGGCTAAGACCATGGACTCAGACTTGGAGGTGCTGATCCGCATACCAACCGCTTCACACTCAGCTGCAAACCGCTCCAGTGTGCGCTGGAGGCATCCATGTGATCCAGCCAAAAGAACATCATCATCTGCAAATAGCAGAGACGCCACCCTCCGGCCTCCACACATAATGCCCTCCTGACCCCGGCTACGCCTTGACACCCTGTCCATGAATATCACAAACAGGAGTGGAGACAGGGCACAACCCTGGCGGAGTCCAACGCTAACACTGAAAGAGTCCGACTTAATTCCGAGTACACGAACACAGCTCTCACTCCGGGCGTACAGAGATTGAATGGCCCGGAGTAGTAACCCCGGCACCCCATACTCCCGGAGGACCTCCCACAAGATATCTCGGGGAACACGGTCGTAAGCCTTCTCCAAATCCACAAAACACATGTAGACTGGGTTGGCAAACTCCCATGCCCCCTCAACAATCCGTGAGAGGGTGAAAAGCTGGTCCATTGTTCCACGGCCAGGACGGAATCCGCATTGTTCCTCCTCAATCTGAGGTTCAACTATCGGTCGAAGTCTCCTTTCCAGCACCTTGGCATAGACTTTCCCAGGGAGGCTGAGCAGTGTGATACCCCGATAGTTGGCACACACCCTCCGGTCCCCTTTCTTGAAAATAGGGACCACCACCCCGGTCTGCCAGTCCAAGGGTTCTGTTCCCGAGGTCCACGCACTATTGCAGAGGCGTGTCAGCCACGACAGCCCCACAATATCCAGAGCCTTAAGCATCTCCGGACGAATCTCATCCACCCCCGGTGCCTTGCCACTGAAGAGCTTGCCAACTACCTCAGTGACCTCCACCAGGGAAATGGAGCTTGACACGCCAGAGGCCTCTGGCCCTGACTCCCATGAGGGAGGCATGTCACCCGGATTAAGGAGTTCCTCAAAGTGCTCTTTCCACCGACCGACAATATCCTCATTTGAAGTCAGAGTTTCTCCACCCCTGCTGAATACAGCCTGGGCGCAGCCACCCCGACCACTCCTGAGTCGCCGGACAGTTGTCCAGAACCTCCTCGAGGCCGACCGAAAGTCTTTTTCCATGGCCTCACCAAACTCCTCCCACGCCCTGGATTTTGCTTCTGCCACCGTTGCAGCTGCCACCTTTTTTGCATGTCGGTACCTATCTGCTGAATCGGGAGTCCTTCGGGCCATCCAGTCCCTAAAGGCCTCTTTCTTCAGCTTGACGGCCTCCCTCACCACCGGTGTCCACCAGGGGGTTCTTGGGTTACCGCCATGACAGGCACCAACAAGCTTTTGGCCACAGCTGCGCCTGGCAGCTTCCACAACGGAGGTTTTGAACAGGGTCCATTCAGACTCTATGTCCCCTACCTCCTCCGGGACATGAGAAAAGCTCTCCTGGAGGTGGGAGTTAAAATCATTCCGAACAGGGGCCTCCGACAGTCGTTCCCAGCACACCCTCACTATTCGCTTGGGCCTACCGGGTCTAACCCTCAGTCTTCCCTGCCATCTGATCCAACTCACCACCAGATGGTGATCAGTTGACAGCTCAGCACCTCTCTTCACCCGAGTGTCCAGAACATATGGTCCCAAGTCAGATGAAACGACAACAAAGTCGATCATTGACCTTTGACCCAAGGAGCTCTGGTACCATGTACACTTATGAACATCCTTGTGTTCGAACTTGGTGTTCGTTATGGACAATCCATGCCTGGCACAGAAGTCCAATAACAATTCACCATTCGGGTTTAGATCGGGCAGGCCGTTCTTCCCAATCACGCCTCTCCAGGTCTCCCAGTCATTGCCAACATGAGCATTGAAGTCTCCCAGTAAGACTATGGAGTCTGTAGTCGGGACCCTTTCCAGAACCCCGCCCACTTGCTCCAAGAAGGCAGAATACTCCGACCTGTTGTTTGGTGCATAAGCACACACAACAGTCAGAGTTTTCCTCTCTGCGATTTTAATACGCATTGAGGCGACCCTCTCGTCCACCGGGACAAACTCCAACTGTACTGCCGCCAGCCGGGGACTCGTGAGTATCCCCACACCCGCCCGGCGCCTCTCACCTTGTGCAACCCCGGAGTAGGAGAGGGACCAACCCCTATCCAGGAGTTTGGTTCCAGAGCCGATACTGTGGGTGGAGGTGAGCCCAACTATATCTAGTTGGTACCTCTCAACCTCCCGCACAAGCTCCGGCTCCTTCCCCCCCAGTGAGGTTACATTCCACGTACCAAGAGCCAGTTTCTGCCGCAGGGGCCTAGGCCACCAAGGGCCCCCCCGCAATCTCCCACTGCCTGTACGGCACTGCACCACTCCCCCATGCTGGACCTTGCGGGTGGTGGGCCCACATGGTCCCCCCACGTTGCCTCTTCGGGCTGAGCCCGGCCGGGTTACGTGGGCTGCCCGGCCACCAGGCGCTCGCCGAGGGACGCTACCCCCAGGCCTGGCTCCAGGGGTAGGTCCCGGTGACCCTCTCCCGGGCAGGGTACACGATGTTCTGTGTCCGTTTTTCATGGAGGTTTTTGGATCGAGTTAGTCTGGGTCTTCACTCCAGACCTGTTCGCCCTGGGAGACCCTACCAGGAGCATGTTGCTCCCGACGACTTAGCTCTGAAGATCCCTAGACCACACAAGCTCTTCCGCCACGACAAGACCCCGATCCAGGAAGGGCCATTAACAACATTCTATATAAAATCTCAGCAGAGATGTGTAGGTTTACAGGTTTTGGATGGTAAATAAAATGGCTGTAGACATTGTGACACCTGGTTCCTGTCACCACCACAGTAAAGAAAAAACTGGAAAATCTCTCTACAGTGAACTAGTTCACATCAAACCACTCTGAATACTTTGTTTAGATCTGAGTGGTTGAATTATGCAAATATCCCCTTTAAGTTATGCAGCAAAGTTTGCTTATATATATCAGTGAGTCTGTGTTATAGTCAGTGACCTTGTCTCAGGTCTGAGACAAGACTCCCACAATTTACTCTGTGCTTTTTCTTGTCGCATCGTCCATAAATGACGTTTTCTGAGAAATAAACTACTTAAAAAGGATCTTGTGAGCAATTACACAATTAATCAGGTTTGACTTTGTTGATCCTGCGTAACATAAAATATGGTGTATTTACTAATATCAACACACACTTAAACAGGAGTAACACTGTAACTAATCAAATAGTACATAATGAGTCCAAATCGTTGAAACAAATGAATATTTTATTACTATTAAATGAGCATTCTTAAAAAAAGAAGAAAATAAGAATGTTTCTGTTGAAAGCTGGTGTGAATGAAGGATGAAGTGGTTCATGTGGATTCTGTGTTGCTTGTTGTCACTTTCTGTGTGAAAAATGGAGATAAAGGATAAGAGACAAAAAAACTCAGTGTTTCATGATTAAAAAACAGATGCATGTTTTTTGCATGTTGAACACATTTGTGTCTAATTAATGTTGTTCATATAAAATGGTATTTCAGAAAAGTTTTATCTTACCTCGTCACTTATGATGACAGTATAAGAGCCGGTCCTTCTCCTGGTCTTGAAGATGATTCTGTGCCGATAAGGCTGATGGTAGTAAAGAGTTTCCTGTGTGAAGTTCGGTCTCAAAAGTCCATCCAACAATGATAAAGACAGAAAGAGGGAGGAAAGAAAGAAATATGGAATCAGAAACATTGAAAGTGCCGTTTACAACCATAAAGACATTTTAATAAGGAAAGCAGTCAGATATGAAAAAGCTGATTAAGCGAAGCATGTACTTACAGGCCAGTCAGTCCAGCAGAGTCACCACACTACTGGACTGACTGGAGTTTCCTAATAGATGGTGAAATGATGGTCACCATCACTGGAATGAGCTCCAACATAGGAAGGATTCTGAGCCAGCAGAAGGAAGTGGTCATATGCCTCCTGGAAGGCAGTGAGATTCTGCAGGATCAAAAAAAATGTTCATTGATTAAATAACAGATGCATGTTCTTTACATGTTCAACACATGTGCTTCTAATTAATGTTGTTCATATAAAATAGTCTTTAAGAAACGTTTTATCTCACCTCATCACTTCTGATGACAGTATAAGAGCCGGTCCTTCTCCTGGTCTTGAAGATGATTCTGTGCCGATAAGGCTGATGGTAATAAAGAGTGTGAAGTTCAGTCTCGAAGGTCCATCCAACAATATACAGACAAAAAGAGGGAGGAAAGAAAGAAATATGGAATCAGGAAAACTGAAAGTGCCGTTCAGATCCATGAAGACATTTTAATAAGGAAAGCAGTCAGATTTGAAATAGCTGATTAAGTGAATCATGTACTTACAGGCCAGTCAGTCCAGCAGAGTCACCACACTACTGGACTGACTGGAGATTCCTAATTGATGGTGAAATGATGGTCAGCATCACTGGAAGGAGCTCCGTAACCTAAATATGATGAGCAGGAATCCCTGCAGACACAGACAGGAAGAGATGATGGACCATGTCTCGCACACATAAAGTATAACTTCAACTCTCTGTGTTAACGTGGTCATGTGAGTAGAGGAGCTTTTGTTTGTGACTGACCTGTTGCTCTCTGGCTGAGTTAGTTTTCTCAGCACAATTTTTGGGTACACATCTCTGCTGCACAACTCTTCACACCTCCGATCTTACGTCAGTTACTACTGTTTATGCCTTAAAAAAAAAAGTCATTTTAGACCCATTGTGTGACAGACTGTGGGGCAGAGAGACATGGAAACAGAAAGGAGGTTGTTGATGTTTTAATTATTGCACTTTATTTAGATTTTCATACCTTCCACTTTCCACTGATCTCAGTCATGTAAATACAAAGCATTGGCCATTTAAATGTGTAAGCACTCAATGCTTCTCCTTCTGATTGGTCAGGGGCTCGACAGACAGAAAAAGGGAGGAAAGAGAGAAATATGGAATCAGGAACACTGAAAGTGCCGTTCAGATCCATAAATACGATTTAATTTGAAAAGCGGTCAGATAAGAAAGAGCTGATTAAGTGAATCATGTACTTACAGGCCAGTCAGTCCAGCAGAGTCACCACACTACTGGACTGACTGGAGTTTCCTAATAGATGGTGAAATGATGGTCACCATCACTGGAATGAGCTCCAACATAGGAAGGATTCTGAGCCAGCAGAAGGAAGTGGTCATATGCCTCCTGGAAGGCAGTGAGATTCTGCAGGATCAAAAAAAAATCATGTTCCTTCATTAGACAACAGATGCATGTTCTTCACATGTTGACCACATTTTTTGTCTAGTTACTGTTGTTCAAATAAAACAGGCTTATAGAAAGGTATTAGCTTACCTTGTCATTTTCGATTACAGTATAACACTTAGTCCTTCTGCAGGTTGAGAGGATGTTCCTGTGCAGATGAGGCTGCAAAAAGAGAAAAAAAGGCAAGAAACTGAATTTTTCAAAAACAACCAAAAGTTCTCAAACATTCTGCTTACTGCAGTATAGAGACTTGTTAAAGATCAAATATATAAAGATCAAATATCATCAAATGTTTGCACAAAAAAGACAAGCAATGTGAGCGTGTAATACCCTCACCGTAACACTCAGTGATGGTAATAAAAGGTTTCCTGTTGTCAATGTAAGAGTAAAGTGCAGTCTTGATGCTAAAACAGTTAAAGAGACAGAGAAACAAGAAGTCATGTAAGTTCCATTTACAACCATGAAGACATTTTAACATGGAAAACATTCAGATAAGAAATAGCTGATTAAGTGAACCATGTACATACAGGCCAGTCAGTCCAGCAGAGTCACCACACTACTGAACTGGAGTCCCTTAATTGACGGTAATTGATGGTGAAATGATGGTCAGCATCACTGGAATGAGCTCCAACATAGGAAGGATTCTGAGCCAGCAGAAGGAAGTGGTCATATGCCTCCTGGAAGGCAGTGAGATTCTGCAGGATCAAAAAAAATGTTCATTGATTAAATAACAGATGCATGTTCTTTACATGTTCAACACATGTGCTTCTAATTAATGTTGTTCATATAAAATAGTCTTTAAGAAACGTTTTATCTCACCTCATCACTTCTGATGACAGTATAAGAGCCGGTCCTTCTCCTGGTCTTGAAGATGATTCTGTGCCGATAAGGCTGATGGTAATAAAGAGTGTGAAGTTCAGTCTCGAAGGTCCATCACACAATCATACAGAGAGAAAGAGGGAGCAAAGAAAGAAATATGGAATCAGGAAAACTGAAAGTGCTGTTCAGATCCATGAAGACATTTTAATAAGGAAAGCAGTCAGATTTGAAATAGCTGATTAAGTGAATCATGTACTTACAGGCCAGTCAGTCCAGCAGAGTCACCACACTACTGGACTGACTGGAGATTCCTAATTGATGGTGAAATGATGGTCAGCATCACTGGAAGGAGCTCCGTAACCTAAATATGATGAGCAGTAATCCCTGCAGACACAGACAGGAAGAGATGATGGACCATGTCTCACACACATAAAGTATAACTTCAACTCTCTGTGTTAACGTGGTCATGTGAGTAGAGGCGCTTTTGTTTGTGACTGACCTGTTGCTCTCTGGCTGAGTTAGTTTTCTCAGCACAATTTTTGGGTACACATCTCTGCTGCACAACTCTTCACACCTCCGATCTCACGTCAGTTACTACTGTTTATGCCTTAAAAAAAAAGTCATTTTAGACCCATTGTGTGACAGACTGTGGGGCAGAGAGACATGGAAACAGAAAGGAGGTTGTTGATGTTTTAATTATTGCACTTTATTTAGTTTTTCATACCTTTTAACGTTCCACTGATCTCAGTCATGGAAATACAAAGCATTGGCCATTTAAATGTGTAAGCACTCACTGCTTCTCCTTCTGATTGGTCAGGGGCTCGACAGACAGAAAAAGGGAGGAAAGAAAGAAATATGGAATCAGGAAAACTGAAGGTGCCGTTCAGATCCATAAATACAATTTAATTTGAAAAGCGGTCAGATAAGAAAGAGCTGATTAAGTGAATCATGTACTTACAGGCCAGTCAGTCCAGCAGAGTCACCACACTACTGGACTGACTGGAGTTTCCTAATAGATGGTGAAATGATGGTCACCATCACTGGAATGAGCTCCAACATAGGAAGGATTCTGAGCCAGCAGAAGGAAGTGGTCATATGCCTCCTGGAAGGCAGTGAGATTCTGCAGGATCAAAAAAAATGTTCATTGATTAAATAACAGATGCATGTTCTTCACATGTTCAACACATGTGCTTCTAATTAATGTTGTTCATATAAAATAGTCTTTAAGAAACGTTTTATCTCACCTCATCACTTCTGATGACAGTATAAGAGCCGGTCCTTCTCCTGGTCTTGAAGATGATTCTGTGCCGATAAGGCTGATGGTAATAAAGAGTGTGAAGTTCAGTCTCGAAGGTCCATCACACAATCATACAGAGAGAAAGAGGGAGCAAAGAAAGAAATATGGACTCAGGAAAACTGAAAGTGCTGTTCAGATCCATGAAGACATTTTAATAAGGAAAGCAGTCAGATTTGAAATAGCTGATTAAGTGAATCATGTACTTACAGGCCAGTCAGTCCAGCAGAGTCACCACACTACTGGACTGACTGGAGATTCCTAATTGATGGTGAAATGATGGTCAGCATCACTGGAAGGATCTCCGTAACCTAAATATGATGAGCAGTAATCCCTGCAGACACAGACAGGAAGAGATGATGGACCATGTCTCGCACACATAAAGTATAACTTCAATTCTCTGTGTTAACGTGGTCATGTGAGTAGAGGCGCTGTTGTTTGTGACTGACCTGTTGCTCTCTGGCTGAGTTAGTTTTCTCAGTACAATTTTTGGGTACACATCTCTGCTGCACAACTCTTCACACCTCCGATCTCAAGTCAGTTACTACCGTTTATGCCTTAAAAAAAAAAGTCATTTAGACCCATTGTGTGACAGACTGTGGGGCAGAGAGACATGGAAACAGAAAGGAGGTTGTTGATGTTTTAATTATTGCACTTTATTTAATTTTTCATACCTTTTAACGTTCCACTGATCTCAGTCATGGAAATACAAAGCATTGGCCATTTAAATGTGTAAGCACTCACTGCTTCTCCTTCTGATTGGTCAGGGGCTCGACAGACAGAAAAAGGGAGGAAAAAAAAGAAATATGGAATCAGAAACACTGAAAGTGCCGTTCAGATCCATAAATACATTTTAATTTGAAAAGCGGTCAGATAAGAAAGAGCTGATTAAGTGAATCATGTACTTACAGGCCAGTCAGTCCAGCAGAGTCACCACACTACTGGACTGACTGGAGATTCCTAATTGATGGTGAAATGATGGTCAGCATCACTGGAAGGAGCTCCGTAACCTAAATATGATGAGCAGTAATCCCTGCAGACACAGACAGGAAGAGATGATGGACCATGTCTCACACACATAAAGTATAACTTCAACTCTCTGTGTTAACGTGGTCATGTGAGTAGAGGCGCTGTTGTTTGTGACTGACCTGTTGCTCTCTGGCTGAGTTAGTTTTCTCAGCACAATTTTTGGGTACACATCTCTGCTGCACAACTCTTCACACCTCCGATCTCACGTCAGTTACTACTGTTTATGCCTTAAAAAAAAAGTCATTTTAGACCCATTGTGTGACAGACTGTGGGGCAGAGAGACATGGAAACAGAAAGGAGGTTGTTGATGTTTTAATTATTGCACTTTATTTAGTTTTTCATACCTTTTAACGTTCCACTGATCTCAGTCATGGAAATACAAAGCATTGGCCATTTAAATGTGTAAGCACTCACTGCTTCTCCTTCTGATTGGTCAGGGGCTCGACAGACAGAAAAAGGGAGGAAAAAAAAGAAATATGGAATCAGAAACACTGAAAGTGCCGTTCAGATCCATAAATACATTTTAATTTGAAAAGCGGTCAGATAAGAAAGAGCTGATTAAGTGAATCATGTACTTACAGGCCAGTCAGTCCAGCAGAGTCACCACACTACTGGACTGACTGGAGATTCCTAATTGATGGTGAAATGATGGTCAGCATCACTGGAAGGAGCTCCGTAACCTAAATATGATGAGCAGTAATCCCTGCAGACACAGACAGGAAGAGATGATGGACCATGTCTCACACACATAAAGTATAACTTCAACTCTCTGTGTTAACGTGGTCATGTGAGTAGAGGCGCTGTTGTTTGTGACTGACCTGTTGCTCTCTGGCTGAGTTAGTTTTCTCAGTACAATTTTTGGGTACACATCTCTGCTGCACAACTCTTCACACCTCCGATCTCAAGTCAGTTACTACCGTTTATGCCTTAAAAAAAAAAGTCATTTAGACCCATTGTGTGACAGACTGTGGGGCAGAGAGACATGGAAACAGAAAGGAGGTTGTTGATGTTTTAATTATTGCACTTTATTTAATTTTTCATACCTTTTAACATTCCACTGATCTCAGTCATGGAAATACAAAGCATTGGCCATTTAAATGTGTAAGCGCTCACTGCTTCTCCTTCTGATTGGTCAGGGGCTTGACAGACAGAAAAAGGGAGGAAAAAAAAGAAATATGGAATCAGAAACACTGAAAGTGCCGTTCAGATCCATAAATACATTTTAATTTGAAAAGCGGTCAGATAAGAAAGAGCTGATTAAGTGAATCATGTACTTACAGGCCAGTCAGTCCAGCAGAGTCACCACACTACTGGACTGACTGGAGTTTCCTAATAGATGGTGAAATGATGGTCACCATCACTGGAATGAGCTCCAACATAGGAAGGATTCTGAGCCAGCAGAAGGAAGTGGTCATATGCCTCCTGGAAGGCAGTGAGATTCTGCAGGATCAAAAAAAATGTTCATTGATTAAATAACAGATGCATGTTCTTTACATGTTCAACACATGTGCTTCTAATTAATGTTGTTCATATAAAATAGTCTTTAAGAAACGTTTTATCTCACCTCATCACTTCTGATGACAGTATAAGAGCCGGTCCTTCTCCTGGTCTTGAAGATGATTCTGTGCCGATAAGGCTGATGGTAATAAAGAGTGTGAAGTTCAGTCTCAAAAGTCCATCCACACAATATACAGACAAAAAGAGGGAGGAAAGAAAGAAATATGGAATCAGGAAAACTGAAAGTGCCGTTCAGATCCATGAAGACATTTTAATAAGGAAAGCAGTCAGATTTGAAATAGCTGATTAAGTGAATCATGTACTTACAGGCCAGTCAGTCCAGCAGAGTCACCACACTACTGGACTGACTGGAGATTCCTAATTGATGGTGAAATGATGGTCAGCATCACTGGAAGGAGCTCCGTAACCTAAATATGATGAGCAGGAATCCTGCAGACACAGACAGGAAGAGATGATGGACCATGTCTCACACACATAAAGTATAACTTCAACTCTCTGTGTTAACGTGGTCATGTGAGTAGAGGCGCTGTTGTTTGTGACTGACCTGTTGCTCTCTGGCTGAGTTAGTTTTCTCAGCACAATTTTTGGGTACACATCTCTGCTGCACAACTCTTCACACCTCCGATCTCACGTCAGTTACTACTGTTTATGCCTTAAAAAAAAAGTCATTTTAGACCCATTGTGTGACAGACTGTGGGGCAGAGAGACATGGAAACAGAAAGGAGGTTGTTGATGTTTTAATTATTGCACTTTATTTAGTTTTTCATACCTTTTAACGTTCCACTGATCTCAGTCATGGAAATACAAAGCATTGGCCATTTAAATGTGTAAGCACTCAATGCTTCTTCTTCTGATTGGTCAGGGGCTCGACAGACAGAAAAAGGGAGGAAAGAGAGAAATATGGAATCAGGAACACTGAAAGTGCCGTTCAGATCCATAAATACAATTTAATTTGAAAAGCGGTCAGATAAGAAAGAGCTGATTAAGTGAATCATGTACTTACAGGCCAGTCAGTCCAGCAGAGTCACCACACTACTGGACTGACTGGAGATTCCTAATTGATGGTGAAATGATGGTCAGCATCACTGGAAGGAGCTCCGTAACCTAAATATGATGAGCAGTAATCCCTGCAGACACAGACAGGAAGAGATGATGGACCATGTCTCACACACATAAAGTATAACTTCAACTCTCTGTGTTAACGTGGTCATGTGAGTAGAGGCGCTTTTGTTTGTGACTGACCTGTTGCTCTCTGGCTGAGTTAGTTTTCTCAGCACAATTTTTGGGTACACATCTCTGCTGCACAACTCTTCACACCTCCGATCTCACGTCAGTTACTACTGTTTATGCCTTAAAAAAAAAGTCATTTTAGACCCATTGTGTGACAGACTGTGGGGCAGAGAGACATGGAAACAGAAAGGAGGTTGTTGATGTTTTAATTATTGCACTTTATTTAGTTTTTCATACCTTTTAACGTTCCACTGATCTCAGTCATGGAAATACAAAGCATTGGCCATTTAAATGTGTAGCACTCACTGCTTCTCCTTCTGATTGGTCAGGGGCTTGACAGACAGAAAAAGGGAGGAAAGAGAGAAATATGGAATCAGGAACACTGAAAGTGCCGTTCAGATCCATAAATACAATTTAATTTGAAAAGCGGTCAGATAAGAAAGAGCTGATTAAGTGAATCATGTACTTACAGGCCAGTCAGTCCAGCAGAGTCACCACACTACTGGACTGACTGGAGTTTCCTAATAGATGGTGAAATGATGGTCACCATCACTGGAATGAGCTCCAACATAGGAAGGATTCTGAGCCAGCAGAAGGAAGTGGTCATATGCCTCCTGGAAGGCAGTGAGATTCTGCAGGATCAAAAAAAATGTTCATTGATTAAATAACAGATGCATGTTCTTTACATGTTCAACACATGTGCTTCTAATTAATGTTGTTCATATAAAATAGTCTTTAAGAAACGTTTTATCTCACCTCATCACTTCTGATGACAGTATAAGAGCCGGTCCTTCTCCTGGTCTTGAAGATGATTCTGTGCCGATAAGGCTGATGGTAATAAAGAGTGTGAAGTTCAGTCTCAAAAGTCCATCCAACAATATACAGACAAAAAGAGGGAGGAAAGAAAGAAATATGGACTCAGGAAAACTGAAGGTGCTGTTCAGATCCATAATATACAAGATATGCAAGATATTTTAATAAGGAAAGCAGTCAGATTTGAAATAGCTGATTAAGTGAATCATGTACTTACAGGCCAGTCAGTCCAGCAGAGTCACCACACTACTGGACTGACTGGAGATTCCTAATTGATGGTGAAATGATGGTCAGCATCACTGGAAGGAGCTCCGTAACCTAAATATGATGAGCAGTAATCCCTGCAGACACAGACAGGAAGAGATGATGGACCATGTCTCACACACATAAAGTATAACTTCAACTCTCTGTGTTAACGTGGTCATGTGAGTAGAGGCGCTGTTGTTTGTGACTGACCTGTTGCTCTCTGGCTGAGTTAGTTTTCTCAGCACAATTTTTGGGTACACATCTCTGCTGCACAACTCTTCACACCTCCGATCTCACGTCAGTTACTACTGTTTATGCCTTAAAAAAAAAGTCATTTTAGACCCATTGTGTGACAGACTGTGGGGCAGAGAGACATGGAAACAGAAAGGAGGTTGTTGATGTTTTAATTATTGCACTTTATTTAGTTTTTCATACCTTTTAACGTTCCACTGATCTCAGTCATGGAAATACAAAGCATTGGCCATTTAAATGTGTAAGCACTCACTGCTTCTCCTTCTGATTGGTCAGGGGCTCGACAGACAGAAAAAGGGAGGAAAGAGAGAAATATGGAATCAGGAACACTGAAAGTGCCGTTCAGATCCATAAATACAATTTAATTTGAAAAGCGGTCAGATAAGAAAGAGCTGATTAAGTGAATCATGTACTTACAGGCCAGTCAGTCCAGCAGAGTCACCACACTACTGGACTGACTGGAGATTCCTAATTGATGGTGAAATGATGGTCAGCATCACTGGAAGGAGCTCCGTAACCTAAATATGATGAGCAGTAATCCCTGCAGACACAGACAGGAAGAGATGATGGACCATGTCTCACACACATAAAGTATAACTTCAACTCTCTGTGTTAACGTGGTCATGTGAGTCGAGGAGCTTTTGTTTGTGACTGACCTGTTGCTCTCTGGCTGAGTTAGTTTTCTCAGCACAATTTTTGGGTACACATCTCTGCTGCACAACTCTTCACACCTCCGATCTCACGTCAGTTACTATTGTTTATGCCTTAAAAAAAAAAGTCATTTTAGACCCATTGTGTGACAGACTGTGGGGCAGAGAGACATGGAAACAGAAAGGAGGTTGCTGATGTTTTAATTATTGCACTTTATTTAGTTTTTCATACCTTTTAACTTTCCACTGATCTCAGTCATGGAAATACAAAGCATTGGCCATTTAAATGTGTAAGCACTCACTGCTTCTCCTTCTGATTGGTCAGGGGCTCGACAGACAGAAAAAGGGAGGAAAGAGAGAAATATGGAATCAGGAACACTGAAAGTGCCGTTCAGATCCATAAATACATTTTGATAAGGAAACTAACTAAATTTAGTGTGTATCATGAACTACAACCTTTCTCTTGTTTATAATAAAAGTTATTCATTCCAGTCGTTACAATGCAGACTTTACAAAGGCATCGCAAACCTATGTTTCATGAGTTTGTTAAAGCACTATGTCATTTGTCCCATTTTTCCTTGTATCTACACCATGCATACATAGAAGATGTAACAACATAAAATATACCAAAAGAACCATAAAAATATAATGTGCGGTACAAAGATTAGTAATATATTATGCAGGTGACGATGTAGTTGTGCATGTCCCATCCAGTGAATGAACTGAGTTACTATGCACTGCAACATATTAAAAGGTGATGTTGTTACGTGTTACGTATGTAGCTGACATTATTTAAGGTAAATTTAGCTTTTTTTTTAATAAAAAAAAAGAAACAAAAACACCATCAGACTAAATAAGTAGTTTTCCAGTTTTTCCTCAGTTGCGTTGGCAAGTGAAATAAAATAGACATCCGCTAGAGAGAAGGTACTTGTGCATGTTTAAATCAAGTCAAGGCTTTATTATCATTTCAGCTACATACACGTACACAGTGAAACAAAACAACATTCCCTCAGGACCACAAGTGCAAAACAACACAATACACACAGTGCAGACAATACAGTGCAATAAATAAATATGAAAAACTATAAAACACAACACAGACAGTACACGGTACTGACAGTATGAGGAGTTGCGCAAACAAGGATGCAACATACTATGACATATTAGCAGACTAGCAGATAGCTTAGCATATATGAGCATCGCAGTCACTGAAGTAGCAACCAGAACAGCACTGAAATACAGTATTTGGTTGATACAGTAATTCTAGCAGCTAACATTGTTAAAGTAAATTAAAATGTGCAAAAATGCAAGTAGTCAGAACTACAAGTCAAGTCAAGTCAGGCTTTATTGTCATTTCAGCTCTATACAAGTACACAGTGAAACAAAACAAGTTATATCAAATGAAGTACTTCAGTGAAATACAGTAATTATATTTAAATACAGTGTTCCAGACATAATCTAGAACTGCAGTGAGGATAGAGCTAGTCTCATATTGTGATGCTGTGAGGGTCTGAATGCTGTGGTACTACCTTCTTCCACATGGCAGAGGAGAGAACAGTTCGTGTGAGGGGTGTGTGGGGTCAGTCACAATGCTAGTGGCTTTTCGGATGCAGCGTGTGGTGCAAATGTCTGTGATGGAGGGGAGAGAGACCCCGATGATCTTTTCAGCTGTCCTCACTATTCGCTGGAGGGCTCTTGGTTATGAAGCTGGTGGTCAGGGTCCAGGTGAGGTTCTCGGTTAGGTGAACAGTAAGGAACTTGGTGCTTGCAATGATCTCCACAGGGGAGTTGTTGACGGTGAGCGGAGAGTGGTCACTCTGTGCTCTCCTGAAGTCAACATCCATCTCCTTTGTTTTGTCCACATTCAAGCCAGGTATGCAAAATTGGCAAAAACCCAGGTGTTACCGCGGACTGTATGGCTCCTGCCAATTGCACATCCCGCCTTTTAGAAGCCGCAAACCGACAATGCTTCACGCTGGTGGTGGGCCGAGAACCCTCCGGTACAATCAGACATTCCTCTGACCACAGGATGTACGAGGATACTGACTATTCAATCACTTCCCATAATATTCAATGATGGAGACAAAATACATGTTTTTCTTCCTGCTGTGGAACATCCGGGATAGAAATATGCTGATCAGACCAACTACTAGCCGCTTTCATTGCTGCGTTTTTGGACGACGAGCTTCCACCATCACTTACTGCTGCTTGTGAGACATGAGCCAACAAG